TCATGCCAGAATGAGTTTCCCAGATGCATACAAAGGCTATCATCAAATCCCTATGTTTGGGTCCGATGAGGAGAAGACTGCGTTTAGGGGTGTCCATGGGCCGGGTTACCCACGGGTCCCGTTACCCGGCCTGAAGCCCAATAGTTGGCCTTCCTGAGCCCGAGCCCAATATCCTTTAAGAAAGGGTTTGGGTTTACCCCTAAACCCATTACTCGGCCCGAAATAGAAGCTCGGCCCTAATAACCCGCCCAAATACTAGGCTCAATAACCCGCCCACATACCCGAAGCCCATACCCTCCCATATATGTTTTTTTTTTTTTTATCAAACATATATGTTTATGTTAAGAGTTGGAGACTTTTGTTAAAAAAAAAAAAGAGTTGAAGACTTGAATGAATGGTAGGTGGTAGATGAGACTTTAATTTTTGTTGGTGAGAGTTAAGTTCAAATTTTTTCAAAACTTTGAATGTGAGTCACCATTTTTCAGCCGGTTTGTGTGACTGACTGCCCCAAACTCATAGCCTCATAGGACTGTAGCTATGCATTGTCTTTTCAGTATGTGAGAGAGATAGCATAAATTTTTAAATTTCAATCTTTTCAATCTGCACTGCCAGCGGCTGAGTCAGGCAGTCATAAATTGAGCCAACGGTCGACTATATTTTAATGTATAATTTATAAATAAACGGCTAATTTCATTTCAACCCACTCAATCATTTGCTCACATTTTATTGCAAAAAAAAAAACTCTCATTCTCTGAACTCACAAGTTTTCTGAAGTCTGAAGTCTGAAGTCTTGAAGTCTCAACTCTCAAGTGTTCAGCTGTCTCAAATACTCAAGATTGTCTAGTGGTCTCATTTGGTGAGAAATTTTTTTTACATAATTTAATTATTTATTTTATTTTTATAGTTTAATTTACATAATGACTTCATCTCATTTACAAAATATTTTTTATAACGAAATTCTTGAGTCAAATAATGATAATGAGAACATCGATGAGGGTGAAAGGAATGATCCACTTTCAACGCCTGAGATGAATTCTACTGGTAATGTAATATCTAATAAAAGACAAAAGTTCAAGGCCTGGGATTACTTTGAAAAAATTAAAATTAAGAATTCTAATGGGGATCAGAAAAGGTATATGTAATTATTGTAAAAAAGATTTTGTCGGAGGCTCTAAAATTGGAACTAGTCACTTAGCTAGACACCTGCAGACATGCCCATTAAGAGGTCAAACTGATATTAGACAAACAATGCTATCACAATCGGTTAGCACCAGCACACTAAGCACTTTTAGTTATGAACCTGAATCTACTAGAAAAGTAATTATTAGATGGATTGTTATAAGAAATCTTCCATTTGTTCTTGTAGACGATGCTGAATTTGAAAGAATGTTACAAAGTGGTTTTAATCCTTCCTTTCAAAAGTTTTCTCATCAAACATGTCAAAGAGATGTTATTAAATATTATGTACAAGAAAAAATAATTTAATTGCTTAATTTGATAATCTTAAAAGTAAAATTTGTTTGACTTCTGATATTTGGACTTCTTGCCAACAATTAGAATATTTATGTATAACTGCTCATTTTATTGATGATAATTGGGTTATGCAAAAAAGAATTATTACTTTTACAAGGATTGATGATAATCATAGTGCACAAGTTATTTTTGAAGTTATTTATAATCAGTTACAAATTTATCATATTCAAGATAAGATTTTTACTATCACTTTAGATAATGCAACAAATAATAGTGGGGTTGTAAGTCATTTAAAATGTTATTTAACTTTACCATGTGAAGATACTTTTTTTCATATGAAATGTATTTGTCATATCATAAATCTCATAGTACAAAGTGGTCTCCATGATATTAGATTTGTAATTGATAAAATTAGACATATTATTTATCATATAATAGGTTCTGAAAATAGACTTAGGACATTTGGAATTATGTGTAAAAAGAATAATTTAAAATGTAAAAAATTCCATATGATGTACAACATAGGTGGAACTCCACCTATAAAATGCTAGATGTGGCAATTAAATATAAAGTTGCCTTAAATAACTATGTTAATATAGATACCACTGGTTCATTATCACGTCCCACCGAAGAAGAATAGGATGTCACTAATAACATGAAAGATTTTTTGAATGTTTTTTATGAGTCAACTATGGCTTTATCTGGTAATTATTATCCAATTATTACACTTGCCTATGTTCATATAGTTAGTATCAGTGGTCTTTTTGAACAATATAGAAATGAACCCAAATTTTCTACTATTTTACATAATATGCAATCTAAATTTAATAAATATTTTTCACCACTTCCTATACTTATTGGTTTTGGTATGTTAATTGACCCTCGATTTAAAGAATTTGACCTTCCAAGTGCTTTTATGTCTTTATATGGAAACTTAAATGATGAGCACATGAACCACATGAATAAAATAAAATATTATTTTGAAAATTTTTTTGATGAATATAGTGTAACATTTGGGAATGGTGGTATACTTAATCCCCCCTCAGTTTCTAGTGATATTATTGGTATTAAAGGTAAAACATATATGCTAGCTTCAATTTTGAACAGAGGAGATATGTCAACATCTAGGGGGTTAACTGAGCTTCAACAATATTACAATGCTCCAATGGTAGGTTTTAAAGATCCTGATTTTGATATTTTGGCCTGGTGGAAAGGATATGAAAATAGGTTTCCAATTCTTTCCACCATGGCTCGTGATATACTAACAGTTCCTATGTCAATTGTAGCATCTGAATCTACTTTTAGTACAGGTGGACGTGTCATTGATGAACATAGAAGTTGCATGGATGGAAAGACAATGGAAGCCCTTATGTGTCTTCAAGATTGGTATGCCACTGAAGCGAGAAATCAAAATATGGAAGTAAATTCCCCAATGCCAGAATTTGAAGTTTTAGAAATTTAGATATTAAGACTGATGTATTTTTTTTCATGTATTAAATATTCTAGTTTTTCATGTACAAAAGCCTTTAATGGGTAGAATTGTGCAAATGATAGATAGGTGGATAGGCGTCAACCTAGTTAGGATGTACTCATTCTATAGTGATACAATTTCTCTTCTATTCATAAATAAAATTATTCATTATTTAATTTTTGTCCATTTTAATTTTGATTATACTTTTAATTCAAAAATATAATTTACAAAAAAAATTAAATAAAATTGCATATTTTTTCAATGGGGCCCAACAAGCCCACCCAAAACAGGTCCACTCAACAGGCCCAACAAAGCCCGCCTAATAGGCCCAACAAAATCCTGCCTAGAAAGCCCGTCCGTAAAGCCCGCTCAATAAGTGATGGGCTAAGTTGCAGGTAGCTTATCCCGACCCGAAGCCTAGCCCGGCCCGGCCCACCACTTGCCCATGTAGGGGCTTGGGCCTACACTACCCAAGTTCAGCCCGAAAAAAATTTCACGGGCCGGGCTGGCCAACCCTAACTACATTTATCACACCAAAAAGGATCTACATTTACAAGTTCATGCCCTTCAGCTTGAAGAATACAGGAGCCACTTACCCAAGAATGGTAACAAAGCTCTTTGGCTCCATGATCAGCCAAACAATAGAGGTGTACATACATGAAATGGTACTGAAGAGAAAGGAATTAGAGAACCACCTCTCCCACGTAAAAGATGTATTTGACATCCTGAAACGCAACAAGCTCAGCTCAATGCCTCCAAGTGTGCCTTTGGAATAAGCTCAGGGAAGTTCATAGGGCACCTGCTGACATGAAGGGTGATAGAAGTCAATCCTGAGCAAATGAATGCCTTGCAAGCAATTTGGAGGCCTTCCTCAATCAAGGAACTACAACAGTTAAAGGGTATGGCCATAGCCGACAACTGATTCAACCAATATAGACCCTTCTTCTAATTACTAAGGGTAAGACGGGCTTTCTACTAGGACAAGTAGTGCTAAAAGGCCCTTGATGAATTAAAAAGCTATCTCTAGATACTTCCTTTACTTTCTACTTCTTCACAAGGAGAAGAGCTTCAACTCTATTTAGTCATGTCTAAGCATACTATAAGTAGGGTGTTGCTTCTTGCAGAAGGGAGAAAACAAAAGCCCATCTATGTTGTAAGCAAGACACTACTAGGGGTAGATACGAGTATACTCCTCTTAAGAAACTCATCTTTGCTTTGGTTATAGCTTCCCGCAAGCTGAATCATTACTACCTAGTACACACCATCGTGGTAATCACTAATCACCCTTTGAGGAAAGTATTTGGTAAGGCAGATCTTTCTGGATAACCAGAAAATGGTCTCTCGAGCTATGGCAGTATGACCTCAAATTCGTCCCAAGGACAAAAATCAAAGTACAAGTCTTAGTCGACTTCATAGCAGAGTTTACAAATCAAATACCAAAAGAGAAGGTAATAGAATGGAGTATGACTCTAAGGTCCCAACCCTAGGAGTTGCAAGTCAATGGATCCTCAAGTCAGCGAAGATCAGGTGCAAGCATTGTCCTATTCTCCCCTTATGGAGAAGTCTTAGAATAGACCCTCCGGCTTGGGTTTGCAGCCACCAATAATGAGGCTGAGTACAAATCACTCCTCTTTGGGGTGCAAGGTGCATTGAGACTGGGGGGTAGAGGAGTTGACCATATACTCTGATTCTCAGTTGGTGGTCAACCAACTTACAGGGGAGTATAACGCTCATTCAAATGTTATGACTTCGTACCTGGAGAAGGCTAAGGAGTTGCTTAGAAGATTGAATTCCTGCAAAGTGATCTAGATTCTAAGGGATCAAAACAAATATGTAGATGTTCTTGCTACCTTAGCTTCTACTAACAAATAAGGTTTAAGATGAAGAGTTGAAGTGGAGTATCTTGAAAAGCCAAGTATAAATCAAGATAGAGTAGAGGTCAATTGCTTGGAGGAAGCACCAACTTGGATGGACCCTCTTGTCCATTATCTTAAAAATAGGACCCTCCCTGAATACAAGAAAGATGCAAGACTCGTTGGGTCAAAGTCTGCCTGGTGCGATTATACCGTCACTAATGCATCGGATCCCATCAAAACTCTGTAGTTAAGTGTGCTTTAGCGAGAGTAATACTAGGATGGGTGACCCCCTGGGAAGTCCTTGTGTTGCACCCCTTTTATTAAAAAAAAAAAAATTCTGCCCGTTTCTGGTTGTCACTAGCTCACAAGCTCTATAGAAGGTCATTCTTGGGGCCGCACTTACAATGTATCCATCCTAGAAAGTGGAAGATCTACTCTTTGAAATCCATGAAGGAATGTGCGGAACCCATGCAAGAGGTAGAAGCTTAGCCTTAAAGGTCATCTCCCAAGGGTACTGGTGGTCGTATATGCAAAGGATGCACAACTGGATGTTAGGAAGTGTGACAAGTGCCAGAAGTTTTCTACTATACTCCGATAGCCCGCATATGACTTGAACTCACTCACGATCCCTTGGCCGTTTGCTCAATGGGGTCTCAACATAGTAGGCCCCCTTCCTCGGGCTCTATCTAACAAAATGTGGCTCATCACTGCAACTAATTATTTCACTAAATAGATTGAGGTCAAGACCCTCTCTAATATCTGCGGCATTGATACCATGAAGTTCGTATGGGAGCATATAATCACAATGCACGAAATTCCTTATGCCCTGATATCCAAGAATGGCATTTAAGTTGATAGCTTAGCTTTCAAAGAATTTTGTTCGAGGTATGGAGTTCGTAATTACTATTCTTCTCTTACGTACCTTTAATTAAACAAGAAAGCTAAGGCTTCAAACAAGGTCATCATTGATGGTATTAAGAAGAAACTTGAAGCAGCTAAAGGAAATTGGGTGGAGCAACTCCCAATGGTGTTTTGGGCTGAATAACACCAAGGTGTTCTACTGGGGAAAAGCCTTTCTCACTCTCATAATAGCATAGAGGTTGTCATTCCTCTTGAAGTAGGTCTGCCAACTATTAGAATCAAGGTCTATGAACAAAGTAACAACGATCAAACCCTTGAGTACAACTTAGATCTCATTGAAGAAAAAAGAGACCAAGCAATGGTTTGACTGACAATATACCAATAGGAATTGGCTAGATCCTACAAAAAGAAGGTCAAAGAAATTAGCTTTACACCCGGAGACCTAGTTCTTTGTAAGATTCTTGCTTAGACTAAGGACCCTACCGATGGCAAGCTAGGTCCTAATTGGGAAGGTCCATATAATGTCGCAGCCTATGCAGGAACCAAAGCTTATAGGTTGAAAGATCTTGATGGTACACTAGTTCGCCGACCTTGGACTCTTATCTTGTGTTAAGCCAACCTCCATGGTTGCACCCTCAGGCTACCTTACCTTTAGCCAACCTCTGTTGTTGCACCCTCAGGCTATCTTTCCTTAAGCAAACTTTCGTAGTTTCACTTTTAGCCTATCTTGCCCTAAGCCAAACTCCGTAGTTGCACCCTTAGGTTGTCTTTCCTTAAGCCAACCTCCATGGTTGCACCCTCGGGCTACCTTGCCATTGTCCAACCACCATTGTGCTACATTGCCTTAAGCCAACCTTCGTGGTTGCACCCTCGGCTATCTCGCCTTAAAATCAAGCATACATTCGCATATTTAAAGCCCTTTCTAAAAAGCCAAAGCAAGTTGGTTAACCAATGACTCCACCAACTCTCAAGAAAAGTAGACGACAAGTTACTCAAAAACAAAAAAGTGACTACTTCATTACTAAAAAAGTTCAACAATATCAAAAATTTAGTATGTACATGTCAAACATGAAAAAGAGCTAAAATAAAGCTAAGTCTTAGCTCTATCCGATGAGTTGCATCATCAAGGAACTTCCCCAAGATATTTGGAGTCGGGAAATCAACCTCAGGCCAAGGAACCTCTTCCCAAACTAAGGAAGATCTATCAATCCCAATCTTCTTGAGTGTTCCTCCTCAGCCATCTCCAACGACCTTGTTTCTTCCCTAGCATACTCATCTTTGATTTTTTTCCAAGATCCAAGAGTAGTGGTCGCATGCAATATTCTTCACTCCGTCCTCTAGGCTAGCCATTTCCCTCTTGGCCATAGCAAGTTCCCCTTGGAGCCCACTAGCACAGGTTCCTACCTTAGTAACTTGCTCTGCTATGCTCTTCAACAAAGGCTACCTTTGTCCTATCAGACTCAACTTGGCGCTTGAGCTACTTATAACGTCAAACTAGCTCATGCGACAAGTAGGTACTCCGCATAATCAATCAATTGTCAACTAAAGCTCTAGAGGAATTTAGTTTAAACTTTGGAAAAACCCTACCTGAAGCGACAACTGAAGAACTTAATCAACTAAACTCCTCAATGGCATCTCCGAGACCTTCTCCATGTCCCTCAAAAGCAAGGCAATGTGCCCCATCACTCTGGCAGTCTCCATACTATGAAAATTTGAGTGGTCACCTGGAGAAAGCTCAAGGACTATCTCCTCATTAGTAGTCAAGCTAGGTCCCCGAGCCTGTTTTGCTACGAACTTCACTCTCAAGGTAGTCATCTCCCCAATAACATTAGAAGGCAATTACTTGCTTCTTTCCCTCACAACTGTCAGCTTGTCTATAGTCAAATTTCCAAGGACTCATATCAATGAAAAGTCACCTCCCATACCTGAAATCAAGGAGTGTCAAAGAAATGATAATAAAATGCTAAGTCAAAGTAGTAATGAAACAAGGCAGCACTAGCTTACCTGATAAAGGGAAAGTCTCCTCCCATACTCCTATCGTATCCTCGCTAGTACACTCACTAATTACCTCTGGCAACTCAAACATGTACGCAGTATTAATGTCAATTCAAAGCCTCTTAGTCCTAAGCGTCTCCCTAGCAGAATTCCTCACTCTATGGACGAGCCCTGATCCGAAATACTCGGTCGCTCCTTTAGCCATGAAGTCAGGAGCGAAGGAAGCGAAGGAAGTGTACCCTGGAACAAATTCAAGTAGTTGCAAAATGGACATACCAAAAGCTCCATACATGTGACCACGTAGGGGGTGAACAATGAGTCAACGAGGGCACTGTTGCTATGAGAGTTAGTATAAGAAAGTAGCAAACGCGAAAACTTTCAACAAAGGTACAAGCAACCAACCTAGATCGCCAATGACACATGGGCACTGAGGGCCACCGCCTTCGTCATGACCAAATTCCAAGTTGCCTCTCACTATAATGAACTCATCCTCATAACCCTTGGCCGAAGAGGCTAAGCAAAGGACTTTTCCTACTTAAGAGGCAATACTTGTTGTCTGGACTTGGAACGGCCTTCAGATAGCAGTAGTCTAGTACCTCCTGGTGGGTAAGTCTGACATCATAAACTTTAGCTAACCCCATTATCCCGCCAAGGATCCTAAAAGATTTAAAAGGGTGAGCACTAATTTGGGACGTATGAAGGCCTATTGCATGTAGAAGCTCCCTTACTAGGCTAGGAATCGAAAATCTAGTTCCCTCTCTACTATAGCCACTACGGGCCACTTGTACCACCTATCCTAAAAGTCACTATCACCCCCCAGAGGTAGCTTTCATCTTGATGCTCTCAGGTATGTCAAAGTCCTTTTTGAATTCGACTAAGGATTGCTCGTTAGCCACTAGGTTGTCATAAATTCCCATAGCTAACACCCAAGATTGCTACCCAAAGCAAAAAATCAAGGAAGACTCAAAAGGAACTCAAAGTCACCTGCCCAGCTTCCTAACTGCCAATTGGCGAACTCAACAAGTAAAGGATGCCGACTAGCTCACTTAGCAAGCTCAATAATGTCGACTAACACACTCCTAACCTCCTAAATGCTGACTGGCACACTAGTAGCCTCCCACACTTCAAGGACCAACACCCTATACCAACTGGTGGGATAGCAGATCGACACTTACAAGACAACTACGGCTTCCTCCAAGACACCCAATAGTTTTTATCAAGCTACAGCTCAACCTCTCTTGCCCATAAAATCCAAACCTAGTTCAAGTTTAACATAGATTGAAATCTAACCCATTAGGACCAACAATTTTTCACAAGTCTCAAATCAAGATGGAAACATGTGAAGAGCATTCAAAAATTCATGTGAAAATTCAAAGGAAAACTTGAAAAAATTTCAAACTTAGCTCAATGAGGTAACCTCTAAGTGGCAACGACTTCAACGAAGGCGGCGGCGCTAACGGGTTCAAGAGCTTCAAGTTTCCTCTCCTCTCTCCCTACAAGCTAGCCTCCAAAGCAAAATGAAAAATAAAGAAAGGGGGAGAAAAATTTGAAGCCCTAGTCTTCTAGGCAAAAGAAGCTCGTTATCAATGAGTTGGGCCCAAAAAATATTTGATCTTAAAAAACATACCTCAATTAAAAGAATTTGGATAATTAAGGTATGGGGAAAAATTGACGTGGGTAGCCTAATGTTAGCCAACATATTACTTTGGGCAAGACCCTGCCAGTCAGCACCCTCCTATGGAGGTCCCTGTTGGTCAACACCCTCCTAGGGAGGTCCCTACTGGTTGGCACCTCACACCTGAAGCATTGGCTCAACCACTTAACCTCCAACCAAGCTACTATGTGCTCTTACGTTCTCTTGCTAAAGAGTCTAATCAAGGAACAAGCATTCTGGGCAAACATTACTCAGAGTATTAAGAAGCTAGTGATAAGATCAACAATGCCTCTGGAAAGTACATTCTTACCTTCAACCTAGGACCTAGAGTCCTAGTACAATATTACTCCGAACAAATAAGAGCTAATGCTAAGGACCTAGGAGCAAGAGTCATTTTCTAACTGTACCCTAAATATGTAGGAGTTAGTGATGAGGTTCATTCTATCACAACCTAGAGCACAGGTTCTTTTGAGACACAACTTCCTACCACTATAAATAAAGGCATCTGAGTATTAGGTAAAACATTCAATCCGAGCCTATTCAATTTACACTTTCCTTCAACTTGCTTACTAACTTAAACATCAGAGTCTCTTTGACCGCCTCTAATCATCGGTTCAATTAGGTGTCTCTTGTCTTGCAGGTCCCACAAGACTTCCTAAATGCCCACTCCGTTCATACGAGGTGGTAATTCATAGTGCGGAATTATCCCCGCACACTACGGGACCCAAAAAAAATAAAATTTCACTACCGGACCATTATTACAAGTTTGTGGTTGTTTGTTATAAAATTTGTGGATCATTTTTTT